TGCAAAAAAAGGAACTTGAAAGAACTACAGAATACAACGAAGCTGGCAGGAAAATATAGTAGACCACTGTAACTATTCACGAATAGAGAAGGAAAACCGATTACTGAGTATAGAGAGCAGCAAAATAGGTGATTAGAGCACTTGAAGAGCTATTGAGTAGATCGATTCATCTGAACCTACCTAACACCAAAATAGCACATATAGGCTTGGCCTTATCGAAAACCCACCAACGATCTAAAAAATCAGGATGGCCGTCAGATAAGTTAAGGATGGGAAAACAACAAGACCATACAAAAGACCATCTGAAGCACTGAAGTCAGATATATAGATAGTTGCAAAGATGCTCCACATCATTTTCAGAAAGATTTAGGAGGACGAACAAGTATGAACTAACTGGAAAGATGAATAACTCATCAAGATACAAAGTTCATTGGAGAATCCTGGTCGGTGGTCTGAGCCCCAGTAGGGACGACAGGATTAAGTTCGAAAGTAAGCCGCATCAATTCTAATATTTCAAAAAAGCGGTATTAACACTAATAGGAATAATAGTAGCTATAGACAACTATGTGATACCAGTGAAAACCATTTTTACAGTGCATGTTACTTCGACATATTCATATATATTTATACGGCATTTACATACATGTCTAACTAAGTATCCTAATCTGGTTATTGACACATTTAGAAAACGGAGACTTGAATAATTATTTAAGTCTGGGTGACATTTAGATAAAAGTTATTTTTGAGGAAATAGTGTAAATTAGATGAGAAACAAGGGCTGAATTACGCACAAAGGACATGTACAGATATGAAATTGAATGACAGAAATGTAAATGACACACAATAAAGCTTGGATAACACTTTATGCATATAAACAAATTTTGGAACATCAGCCTTCAAACCCAACTCTCAGATCCAAGTATTGATCAAACCACAACAACCAAACGAACCAGCAATTCAGTCAGTCAGCTACAACGTAGGACCAGGCACATATATGCATCGGTCCAAGTTGCCATACCTCATTTACACATCAAGATAAACACCGGATTCATAGAACTAGTTATTTCAATGGTAGTAATATATAGAAGAAAGATTGCATATAAGGATATAAGTACAGAAACAAAGAATTAGTTCCTAGAAAGAAATATAAGAAGCGATGTTAATCTCCTAGTTTAAGGAAAGACAGAGAGTGTATACACCGACGCCATTGTGATCGATTCTGAGCCATGTCACCAAGAGTCTCCAACTATTGGTTACGACAGTCACGCGGACCCCAACCAAGTAGTCTGCATCTACCAACATCGCTCAGACTAGAAGTTAGTGACTTCAAGCAATTAATCAAAATGAGTATACGTGACAGGACACTTTGTGTCGTTTGTCAAACAACTTGAACAGATCAACAGGAACTCGTCAGTATGATGCACTTGTAATTACTTATGAAGTCTAATCAATATCACAGTTACAAATATCACTGCAAAGCTATCTATGTCATTAAAATCAATTAATGTTCACGAACTGATATACTGATAAGCTTTGTAAATCACTTCACGTACATACTTATGTTTCTATCAGTCATAGAATCCACAAATCCAATTATTTCTAAGCTTATATTATTATAATTCATAGCTTAAATTAAAAAATTATGCTCCGAAGCTAGATGGATCAAATCTAGTGACCTTTGACCTATTTTTTTTATGATATGAACGACTAAACTGATTATTTAGCTTACTGACTTCAGATAATTTTAATGTGAATTAACATATGAAATTTTACTTATGACTGTTACCCCTCATGGAAGAGAATAGACCGCTTAACAAAATTTTCCATCCAACTCTGTCCTGGGCGATCCTATCCAGTTGTCTACAGTTGCTATTGAACTTTCCATGTTTGATCCCGATTCTTTAACAATCAATATATACTTGTTTTATGAAATCATAATATCTGATATTTAAAAAACTCAAGAATCTCAAAGAGAACTAAGTAGCTATTTCATTTCAATCTCCCGACCGTTGTTGCTACCTTGACATGGTGGTCGGGCTTGCCTATCGTGATGAAGCAACCGAGCTATACTGCCTGGAACAACTGTTCCTCAAGGTCCTACCATGTCAGAAAGGTCGGTTGATGAGCGGTAAGACTAAAAGCAACAAACCCAAGGTCCGAAGGCGAAGTCGTACTGCTGACTGTACAGAGGTGTGACAGTAGTAAGGTGTTTCCTTCAGACAACCAGCATGACAGCGATGCTACCTTCCCACAAGGAGGGGTGGGGTTAGAAAAGGTCGACCCTAAAAATGCACATCTCACTTTATCCCACGGATATCCGTCTCCGGCGGTAAGGTCCCAAAAAGTACGGAGCTAACACAAAAATTACCCATAAAAAGGTCGTGTGTGACCGACCTCGAGAAGTTGTCCCTTGGGCACTGCGGTCACGCTCCCATGTCACTAAGACCACCTCTAATCCAATTTCCTTTTCAGGTACCTCCAGAAGAACCCTTCCACGGTATGGGCAACCGGGAAGTGATAACCACCTTTATACTTCTAACAGCACTCAAGACCACTGTACTCATTTCAATCTCAAACATTTTAATCATATATACTCACTATTTCAAATAGAATTGTGGATAACAAGATGAGGGTAAATCAGATAACCGTAAATGATAGATGATTAACATTAAGTTATACTGAAAATTCGCTTAATTTGAAAAAAGAAAAAGAAAGAACGATTAAATATTAACTGAATAATGAATTAGTGTTGTATTTTGTAACGAAGATTAATTGCCTCAGGTCAGGAGTATACACTGTTGAAGAAAGTGCCTTTTGGCGATTATTACTTTGAAATAGTTCTCTAAATTATATTGGTTTGAATAATCCAATAAGAAGACGAAAGTTGTCGAATTATGTGAAAGTTGAATAAAATCACGAAACCAAATAAAAATCTTATATTAAATCAGAATGAGGATTTATAAAGATTGTAGTAATTTTAATATTTGAATTCATGAGTTGATTTAAGCTGGATTACCACTGAAAAGCTGGAAGCACTTGAAGACCGATTACCTTCTAGTGCCAGACTCTTCAGTAGTGCGCATCCACTATCCTGCATGCGAGACTCGAGTCCAGGACCTTCAATGTCGTGCGCAAAAGCTTAACCTCCAGACCACTGAGCCGGTATTCAAGAGTGTTAGTGTCTAACCTCAAACAATCCACGATATTGCGCGACCGTCTACCATTGTTTTCAGTGAGTAACTACCTCACAACAAACATGGCTGAACTCCACTGGTCACAGCTCCTCAGTAGAAACCCACCTTGAAGCCAGTAACTAGTGAGTACATGATGATTATTATCAGAATGGGGGTTCGTGGAGATTGCAGTGATTTTAATAGTTGGATGCTCATTGCTGAGGAGTCCCGCGCTAGGACGAAACGGCTGTCCAGCGCTTCCAACTTTTCAATGGTATTCTAGCTTAAATCGATTCACGGATTCGACCTATGTTAAATCTTTGGAAATTCGAAAAGTTCCGTAAGTCGCATTGAGTGAATAACTGTTGAGATATTTTAGATACACTTACACGCTAACACTTAAAATAACCGAGAAAAATTCCAGGTTTTAAGTATCCAACAGCTTTGGTGCTAGAAATGAGCACACTACCTTTCTTAAACTCAAAACTACTATTATGGGTAACACCTCATTAAAAGCATGAATAAGAGTGCGTATTGTTGAAAGTTAAATGTATTGTTTCAAAATAATTTCACATAATCCAATAGCCTATTAAATATCAAGTGATGTTGAATAACTTTTTTCTCACTCTCTGTTAGAAAGGCCTCGATCATCTAGTTTTTTTTATTTTCGTTAAAAAATTATATCAGGACCTCGGCAACTCCTAATTTATATTAGTACGCTGACCTTTCCTACAAATGATCTGACTGATAGTCTTTTCTTATGGCTTGTTATTTTGCTATATGTTCCCAAGGTTATCATCCTTACCCTGTAAACAAAACTATTGTATTCGAAATTGACTTTTGCTGGGAATATTAAAACTCTCCTAAAACTCAGTCTTCTGTCTTTCATTTATTCGTGTGTGGACCGAAGTGTCATTGAGTAATATTGATATGATTTGTCTAGTTCGTTTGGACCCCTTCTCTTATAATCCCTTTCAATTTACAGTTTATATATTTATTATAGCTTATAACGGATAAGAGTGAGAAATCGCTGATCGCTTTGTGATATGAATCTTTACTTTTAACCATTTATTTTGATGATTGATCAGTAACTCATAATCATACTATTTTCATTGAATATAATGTACAGAAACGATTGTTAAAATTCCCAAGTATGTATGTATATATGCACGTAACCAATCAGTTGGTCAAGTAATCTTGTCTCCCAGATTATATTCTGTGAGAATTTCAGATAAAATGAAAAAAAGTACTTAATATGATACCTCTATTCAATCTAGAATTCGAGGAACTCCAGTTTATCTGTGGCGCTGGGTTTTTTTTCAGTGACTCCCTTTCTAGTTCAAATTGTCCAAAAAGACGATCATAGCTAATAACTTCCTTGACATAACGTACAAGAATGTATAAATGAGTTACTGAACAATACGTTTTTTCAATGAGTACAGACATTTGGTAGAACCCAATTATCACAATAAGAAAAATATTTCTATCAGTCAAGGCAACAAGTAAAAGGATGGAATAGTTCATTTTGCTACAAATATGACTAATCAATAGCTATCAACAGCAAATATCCTAATAAAAAAAGAACAAACAAGAAATGTGCTTACATTTCAGTAATATAGAACAAAATCAATCAGTTCACACAGTTGAAATATAAACAAAGTGATTCAATATCTCAACCGCTTCTAAGTAAAGTTATTTTAACCAAAAAAAGTTCACAACACAGATGAGTTTTAGTCAGTTTCAGAACCTGTCAATACTTTAATATCATGTTGGTTTCATTTCGATAATGCAATGAGAAGACGTAGTGTATCAGAATTATGTGATATATTTGTGCAATACATTTCGAACAATCTGATCACACATTACATACTTGTTAAGACATTTTTATATGAAAATTAAAAGGTCAACTAGACAGGTTAAAGGTAAGAAATAATAATAACATAGTACACAAAGACAATGTGATTAACAGTCTGGATAATAAATCAGTATTACCAGGGTAGGTTAAGTGTTAGGACAAACTGTTTTTGGACACATAAAGGTGGTTTCAATTTCCGTATAGCCAAGGTTTACCTTAGTATACGTCCGTGAAGGCTTTTGAATAACATTACAAATGCTGATTTGATGTCAACCTTTTGACTAGTTTCAATCAAATGTTAGCTTCAAACAAATCATAAAGTATGAATGTAATATATGTAAGTACAGAAGGGTTACAGACAAAGTATTACTTACAAAGAGAAATAAAGAAATTTCGTTACATAGAATCCGTATATATATAGGAATTGTTTTACAGCCTCTGAAAATGTCCTCCTGAGTTACAAATCTTCTTAATTACTTTCGAGTCAGCCCCCCCCCCAATACAATGTTACACTTTGGTTTTACACAAGATTGTTTTTACCAACTTTAACATTATTTTAATAGCTAGAATATATATACATGAGAATATTAAAAAGAACAGAATACATTATACAACTGTTTCTAAGACATATCATTATTATTAAATGTAGGTTTTTAGAAAATAATCGAACTTATTCATTCATTATTTTTATTAACTTGTAGATTGATTCTTATTGATAAACGTTTTTGTGCTTCAGTATATTGTTCATTATATTTCATAGGCATATGAGATTCAATGTCTATTAGATCATCAATTAATTTTGATATAGAATTTGATGTAATCACTGGACATGTCATTCTTGATGACGATGATGCTGATGACGACGACGATGATGATGATGATGATACGTTGGATGATTTCATTGACATTGTAAAATAAATTGAAGTAAAAGAACGAATGAAATTTTCATTTGCTGAAATTTGATTACGTAAATTCACCATGAAATAACATAAATACTCAAAGAAATAATCCATTAAAACATGTAATTCCGATATAAATATTTCCAAATCAATAGATGAATTCATCAAGTTATTATTATTATTATATTCAACAACCATTCGATTGTTTATAATATTTGATATGCATGATTTTCTTGATTCACATATTTCAACCATTATGTTGGATATCTGTTGTTAAATTAGAATAAATAATGAATGATTTAGAGAATGGAGAAAAAAAAGGTATTCATTCGCTGAGATTTTACAAATACATTCTCCCTTTTTAATGTCTCACATCAACTCGATGCCCAAATACCGTGAAACTATTCGATCCAATTTAGGCGAAAGTTCTTATATATTAACCAAACTTGAGAGTGTTTTTTCTTAGTGAGAAATTCATATTAATTAATTAGAACAATTGTTTCATTTGATTTCGAACCTTTGAAGTAAACGAATGATTCGCATGATAAGAGTATCATCTTATCAGATGATAAAAGCTAAGAGTTCCAGTGTGAAAACCAGCATTGAAATACATGTAGACTCAACTGACGAATCACAAATAAGACGAAAAGCCCATTACATATAGAGTACAGGTATCAAAATTCAATTCTGAATATCAACAACACTGTGATTGAAACTCTTACTATTAATGATATAAACACCAGTTGATACACATGTAAACTCAGCAACTCAGTGAATAACTTTGTGATAAATTTACATTAACCTAAGAGGTCCTAAACAGAATAGAATACACGTTTTGCATGGCACTGCCTGATTGGCGTTATCCATCGACTCTAGATATTATTTTCTCTTTGTCATTAATAATAAATCTATCAGTTCTGCAATTTTATGTTTTCATAGAGTTAATTGACCATAATAATTCTCAGTTTACTATAACCACTCTAAACAGGACGAAACTCGCATCCAGTATTCCACTGCAAGCCACTATTCACTCCTACTTACAATGCTTATAACTTAACGGAGATATCGAAACAATCCGCACAGGATGCACATATTACCAAGAATTGACTGAACAATTACAATCTTAAACATCAATGGGTAGATTTAAACAACCAATATAAATAAATTGGAACAATAAATGGTTAAATCAGTGGTCATAAATACTTTTATCATTATCATGCATAATTCGCTTGATGAATATACAAATAAAATGTTCGGTCACATTGTACAATAATTTATAAACCTCACTAAGTTCACAACTAGGGATTCTTTTAAATTCATAACGGAATAATGAATTGATAGGTCGTTGACTATTATTTCCATTCAGTAAAATAATGTGAAAGTAATGCATAACTCAAAAGAGAGATCACATTTTGGCGCATATATAAGACAGTGTACCATAGAACAGTCATAAAATGAATAATCATTTAGAAGATACAATCGTCTTTTTATCATTGGGGAGCAATTACTCATTTCATATTATTTTCATCAATTAGTGCCAACACAGGTAATCGGCCTAGTATCTGGTGTGATCACTGACATTATTACGTAAGAATAGTAAATCGACTTCAAAAAGAATAAGATCATTTTCCTGAGTGAATACTAATTATTGGTTCAACTGTTTGGTAATTTAACTAGAAATTATCTTCCAAATATTTCTTGAAGAATTGTTGCATATAATCGTCCGCAACTTAGAAGAAAATATTGATTACGATAGCTAACAAATATATTCTATCCTTGAACATTAAATGATGGCCTTTATCCATTTCTTGGATGATTTGCAAATGATTTTTGCTCTAATTTACCCCTTCTTTTCAGTTTTATTTCCTATGTTGCGGTGGTCTTACTAAAATCTCACTAGTAATCCTATAAAGCCCGTTACTGCTGTTCAATATGGTGTTCCTGATGACTCATAAACAATATCCTCCTTAAATTCGCATGAAATCTCAATAATACTGCATTATCACAAAGCAGCAGCCTCAGCAAAAGTAGGTCTCAACATAAACAAAGGGAAAAGCAAGATTCTCCTATACAACACAACATGCACCAATCCAATCAAAATTGACGGAGAAGATTTGGGAGATGTAAAAACCTTTACATATCTGGGCAGCATCATTGATGAACAGGGTGGATCTGATGCAGATGTGAAGGCGCGGATCGGTAAAGCAAGAGCAGCATATTTACAACTGAGGAACATCTGGAACTCAAAGCAACTGTCAACCAACACCAAGGTCAGGATTTTTAATACAAATGTCAAGACAGTTCTACTGTATGGGGCTGAAACCTGGAGAACTACGAAAGCCATCATCCAGAAAATACAGGTGTCCATTAACAGTTGTCTACACAAAATACTTCAGATCCGTTGATCGGACACTATTAGCAACAACGTACTGTGGGAAAAAACAAACCAGATCCCAGTGGATGAAGAAATTAGGAAGAAGCGCTGGAAGTGGATAGGACACACATTGAGGAAAGCACCCAACTGCGTCACAAGGCAAGCCCTCACATGGAATCCTCAAGGATAAGGGAAAAGAGGAAGACCAAAGAGCACATTACGTCGGGAAATGGAAATAGACATGAGAAAAATGAACAAGAATTGGATGGAACTAGAAAAGAAGGCCCATGACAGAGTGGATTGGAGAATGCTGGTCGGCGGCCTATGCTCCATTAGGAGTAACAGGCGTAAGTAAATAAGTAAGTAAGTAAGTAAGTAAGTAAGTAAGTAAGTAAGTAAGTAAGTAAGTAAGTAAGTAAGTAAGTAAGTAAGTAAGTAAGTAAGTAAGTAAGTAAGTAAGTAAGTAAGTAAGTAAGTAAGTAAGTAAGTAAGTAAGTAAGTAAGTAAGTAAGTAAGTAAGTAAGTAAGTAAGTAAGTAAGTAAGTAAGTAAGTAAGTAAGTAAGTAAGTAAGTAAGTAAGTAAGTAAGTAAGTAAGTAAGTAAGTAAGTAAGTAAGTAAGTAAGTAAGTAAGTAAGTAAGTAAGTAAGTAAGTAAGTAAGTAAGTAAGTAAGTAAGTAAGTAAGTAAGTAAGTAAGTAAGTAAGTAAGTAAGTAAGTAAGTAAGTAAGTAAGTAAGTAAGTAAGTAAGTAAGTAAGTAAGTAAGTAAGTAAGTAAGTAAGTAAGTAAGTAAGTAAGTAAGTAAGTAAGTAAGTAAGTAAGTAAGTAAGTAAGTAAGTAAGTAAGTAAGTAAGTAAGTAAGTAAGTAAGTAAGTAAGTAAGTAAGTAAGTAAGTAAGTAAGTAAGTAAGTAAGTAAGTAAGTAAGTAAGTAAGTAAGTAAGTAAGTAAGTAAGTAAGTAAGTAAGTAAGTAAGTAAGTAAGTAAGTAAGTAAGTAAGTAAGTAAGTAAGTAAGTAAGTAAGTAAGTAAGTAAGTAAGTAAGTAAGTAAGTAAGTAAGTAAGTAAGTAAGTAAGTAAGTAAGTAAGTAAGTAAGTAAGTAAGTAAGTAAGTAAGTAAGTAAGTAAGTAAGTAAGTAAGTAAGTAAGTAAGTAAGTAAGTAAGTAAGTAAGTAAGTAAGTAAGTAAGTAAGTAAGTAAGTAAGTAAGTAAGTAAGTAAGTAAGTAAGTAAGTAAGTAAGTAAGTAAGTAAGTAAGTAAGTAAGTAAGTAAGTAAGTAAGTAAGTAAGTAAGTAAGTAAGAATATGCAGTTAAGTATCGGGTTAAAAATGCAATAAAGCTCTAATGAACCAGAAGAGGTCTATTATACTCCAGTTCACGTGTCCGTGTATCAATTCTTTAGGAAGCTTAAGGTGACTAGACTCATAAAATAGGACTAGTATTTAACACATCAGAATTTTTTGGAATATCTTACGTATAGTTTTTATCCATATTTCCATTGTACAATTAAACTATTATAGTGCTCTATTCCTGTTATCGTAAGCTCTCATTAAAGATAATGTTTGTTGCTACACTTTTTTTATTCCTAAATCATGGTTAGTCAATTTTTCACGACTTGCTCTGTTCATTGCCACCTTTTAGTTTGTTTATATATAAACGGCGACTTTTATTTTGTAGGGTGATGCTTACCTTGACATCTGTAAATAGACGCGTGTATGTTCGAATTATGTTATTACAAGCTTTACCTACTGTATTTTAATATCTGGACTCAAAACTGGCATCAGAGGAATCAAGATTATCTCACCAGTTCTCAAGGTTATTCGTACTAGACTTAGCGTCTCAGTGGCCGAGTTAAGTAATCAATCGATAGATGGACTAACGTACTAGGGATCGAGAAGGATAAATCAAGATTTCGACTGATGCGTTTCCATTCTGGCTATTGATTAAAGGGATACAGACTAGCGAGCGCGATAATACAAAGGAATTTTCAGAAATTCACAGTCACTATTGTTATATCCGGTGAAGATTAAATTACAGGTAACTTCCGAGGACTATTCATGGACTAATATTCTATAAATATTCTTATTGTATAACTACTCAACAATTACACTATGGATATTTATATTCCTTTTATGATAAGCTTTATTTTGACCTATAATTTATCATTGTACGATTTACGGTTCTTAAGTTATGTTCAGTTTATTAATTACTGCCTTCCACATTCACAGCCACTTTTTGGCTTATTTGTGTACAAACATTTTTTCCTATTTTATGGTACGTTGCGGTCTGTGTGATTGATATATAAACCAAGTATGCCTGAAATAAACGATCTGCTCTGATTCGGAAGCTGGTATTTTGTTCTGGACTCAACTGGAAGGGCTCGGAGGACATAGGACCAATAAGGACGCTAAACTGCCCACACCGGTTGAACGTCATTGGTTGGCCTAGTGTGGAGATTCGTATAAGTCGTATTCGGATTGGTAGATAAATCGTGTGATAGAAAAGTCAGACATCCAAGGTCATAACAACTATCTCAGGACATTCAAGCTTCACAGTGAGCCCGTTACCTTCAGACTATTGAGTTGATGTACAGTCGTATACTTCTATAACTCCAACCAACTATCTATATGGAATACAATCACCCAACAACGTTATTGGGTAACTGTTTTACACCAATCATGGCCGAAATTCCCCAGTCATGATCTTTTGATAAAACTTTAAAAATCTTGAAACTAGTCACTAGTGAGCGTACGATTTCTGTTTGATAGATATAATTTATGAAAATCAATTGAAGTGGAATTTAGATTTCCTCACAGACTGATATCAGTTGAAGAAGTATTTCGAAAAAATAGGCAACACTGAACAAAAGTTTCATCCTGGTATGGAACTTCTCAGAGGTTATCAATCTGATGTGTGGGCTAGAATGGTAATGATTGGTTGTTTGCTTAGTCAGACTTGTAGATAGCCTGATAGGTACTAGATGTGTTATATATTCTCTTACTCTTATTATTATTGTGATTGTTATTGGTTTTTGGTGCAGATATATACTTACTTAGGCTAATCATGTGTCCTTGATTTGTGTTGTGTTGAAGTCTTGTAGAATAGATACTTGAAGGGTATCTAGTGTAGATATTCGTCTAAGGCAAATTAACTTCCCATTCATGTAAACAGTGAAAACCGAGCGTTATAATACAATCTTCACAAACCTCCTAATAAAATCCCATTATAGTTTTTGTGTTTTGTATGTATAATGCTTGGTGTATGAGGTGAGAATATCACACATTTGATTGTGTATATGATCATGAATACTTTTCCTGTCTGTAAAATTCATCATTTTGCTGAATAATCAGTCAGAAGCTCCGGATTTTTATTGATTCTTCAGTAGATGTCAGTTTATAATATATCTTCCAACTAACTAAATACTTCATAAGCTGTTTTTACAAATAATTTGTAGTGTCAGTTATTATGTTAAGCTCATATGCCTTATTCTAGGTTTTGGACAGACCATTTCATTCATTGTATTTGAGTCACATTCTGACCTTGTTATTTATTCGCTTATCAATCTTGACTGTGTTTATATGAGCGCATATGTGCGTGCCTTTCTAATCCCATTCATCACATGTCTGTAACTTATTTTTGTGTGGCTATAAATATTGATCAACGCTTGGTCAAATGGGAGTTGGCTTACCAGCCATCTCCACTCTGAGTCGTTTCTCTTCTCTCTATTCCATTCGCTTCATATGCAAAATATATGTATTCAAAAGTTCATTCTCGTTATTTGACTTATTTAATTCCGTTATTGACTAACGCGATTTAAGTCGATGATTATATACGAGAATAAGCGACATATATATATTTCAACAACAATCATCATTACAATCTCCTTGGAGTCGGATCACAGGCCACTAAAGTGAAGAGCTCTTTCGACAACATCGTTCGATCTAAACAACGACAAAATTACGGGCCTCCACAAAAAATTCAATAGATATCAATGAATATTATCGGAATAATTAGTAAATATTAAAAAGCCCAAATCAATAAATATGACTTTGATTACCTTGAATATGTAGTATACAACTGGTATTCCATTACTATTTTGATTTCTATATTTTAATATACTTCCAATGATAAAATTCATTTTATTACTTTCATCTTTAATCATTGTATGTAACCATTTTAATTGATTAATTAAATTGTCATAGAAATGATAATTTTCATTAATCACTTGAATTAAACGATTCAAACGATAATAATGAGTAAGTTCTGATAAAGTAGGTTTTTTAAGAGTTAATTCAATCTAAAATTCAATAAACAGTGTTTTATAGTACGTTGATCAAATCGTAATGGAAGATTATATATATATATATATATATATATATATATATATATATATATATATATATATATATATATATATATATATATATACATTGACTGATCTCTGAGTACTGACCAGTGTCATTTTGTCGATTGGATAGGGCTAATAGAAGTCTATTCATAATGTTGCATTCTAATCACTTTTGGTGGTCGGTATTCCATATAATCCTTAAACTTCGTATACAGTTCGTCTTGATAACCGTCACTAGATAACGCCCCAACGGTATATTAATCAGAAGGCGAATACGAAGTGTTGATTATGTTTATTATGGGACCACACACAGATATCCAAAACTACAGGTGCGTCAAACAAGCATGAAAGAGTTGTGCCGAAAAGCAAGCAGGCAAGAGAGCGAGCGAGTGAGTTAGCGAATATGAGTACAAGTAAGCGAGTACAATTAAGCGAGAGAGAGCAATGAACATGAATAACATGAACATATATATGTAGTCGGATTGGGATTACCAATTGTAGCGTGGCGTCGAGTTGAGATTAACTATGAACACCGCTACCAAGATATACGTGCCAAATAGATCAGAAGGCGTAAGAAACTCGTTCCAAATGACTCCATAAAATCCCCGAGAAGCCGAATACCAGAAGGCAATTAATGGACCAAGTCGAGGTTTATTTGCTGGCGATCTCGTGGCATCGAAAGGATACCGAGATCGTGCCAGGATACAAGCTTGGTTACAGAACGTAACCGAATTCGCGCGAAGTTACAATCAAAGTGTAAGTAAGAGAATGGAAGAAGAAAATAGCTGTCATTAGCACAGTCAAACAAAAGCACGTTAAAACAGTCACTGGTACAGTTGGTTATAATAATAATTGTTTTTATTAAACCAGTCGTGTTCTCGTGATAAATGTGAGTCACTACAGGAGCCCCCCGCTAGAAAGGGTTAACACTTTCGATAAATAGCGGTTTGAATCGTGGGACTGATCGGCTGACGAGCGATTGTAGGACGGAAAGATTGGCGAACAGGAAAGCGATCGTTGATCGTCGAGTTGCCAACGAAGGTCGTTTTCGGAGAACAGTACCAGGAGCGATGTGTTGTATTGATTGCTCGAGTTGGCATGCTACACGAGAGTGGTTTGTATCCAGAATCTGAAGAGGGCGTTCGTAGGGAATGCGGACCAGGAACGCTGCAGACGAAGGACGAAACCACGTTGAGCCAAAAGACCAGAAGCGACCATAACGACCAAGTTCGAGACCAAGCGTATGCCAAGCATTCGAAACCAATATATCGACTGAGTGCGTTGACAAGAGCATGGGTGGCCAATCCAGCTTTCGCCAAAGTTGACTGAAGTCGACGGAACCAAACGGCGATGGTCGAAGGCGTGGGCTCAGGAAACAAAAAGAAAATCAAAAAAAGAAGAGTGTAGCATACGTGTAGTATAGGAATAATCCTACACCGTATCGGTTGTTGACTGTGCGACTATTCGCGGAAGCGTACGGGTAACCGTACTCGGCGACCGGAACGTGAGACGATAGTCTCGTTCGCGTCGCGTGAGCCTGCAATCTCATCCGAGGTCAGAGGCGGCGTGGTCTGCTGATCTGGACGTGAGACTATCGTCTCGTCCGTAGACGGTGCAGATGACGCGTGCTGTTGACCGGGACGTGAGAATGAGGTCTCAGATGCATCTAGCGTGGGACCTGAAGATTTAAGGATCCCGCTAGGTTTAATAGGTCTAGCATTGAATCTCAGGTTACCAGATAGGGCACTGTCATCGACGTGTGCTGGTTTGAGACGATCAACGCTGACGATCTCGACGCGTCCATGTCGATCAACCCTGAAGGTCTTTTCGTGACGAGCGATCACGTGAAAAGGGCCTTCGTAAGGTTGTTGCCAAGGTTTGCGTACCGAATCTACTCGTACAAAAACATGTGAACAGGTAGATAACTCTCGAGGGAGAGCGACCTGTCGATGTTGTATTCGAGTTGACACCGGAGACAGCGTTCACATAAATGCAGACAGTCGACGGACGTTGTCTGATTTGCCGAAATTAGGTCTGCTCCGTGGTGTGAAGGATTCTCCGGGCAGACGCAATGTCGTGCCGTATACCATTTCAGCGGCGGAACATTGTATATCTGCCTTCAAGCTCGTTCGAATACCTAAGAGGACGAGCGATAAGGTTTCGTACCAGTTGTCGTTCTCGTGTGCTCGTAGAGCACTTTTAAGTTGGCAATGAAACCGTTCAACTTAACCATTTGGTGCTGGGTGGTAGACGGATATGCTTATGCGTATGCATTCCGTACCAAGCAGCCGGGTCAGCGAGGAGAATCGTTAATAGGGTAACATTTCTCGAATAGAGCGTGGAATTCATCATCACGCGAATAAAAAGTGACAAGGATTCGATACACATACGTGTGAGTCTATTATATTAATACTATTCTTATCGTTATCCGTCATGTCGCGTATATTATATATTAAAAAATATGAAAATATACGACAGACGTGGATAGATAAATCATAGACTCACCGAATTGGCTTCTTTGGAAGATTTGACCAGAAGCTGAGGCGTGTTCCAAAATACGGGTCACCAATTGTAGTCGAATTGGGATTACCAATTGTAGCGTGGCGTCGAGTTGAGATTAACTATGAACACCACTACCAAGAAACACGTGCCAATTAGATCAGAAGGCGTAAGAAGCTCGTTCCAAATGACTCCATAAAATCCCCGAGAAGCCGAATACCAGAAGGCAATTAATGGACCAAGTCGAGGTTTATTTGCTGGCGATCTCGTGGCATCGAAAGGATACCGAGATCGTGCCAGGATACAAGCTTGGTTACAGAACGTAACCGAATTCGCGCGAAGTTACAATCAAAGTGTAAGTAAGAGAATGGAAGAAGAAAATAGCTGTCATTAGCACAGTCAAACAAAAGCACGTTAAAACAGTCACTGGTACAGTTGGTTATAATAATAATTGTTTTTATTAAACCAGTCGTGTTCTCGTGATAAATGTGAGTCACTACATATATACATAGTGAAATGAATGAATCATCGAATGAATTAAACGGTCAGTAGTAAGGCTAGCAGCGTGAATAAATGAATAGGCAGTAAGCAATGCTCAAGAATACATGTTCATATATTCGCAACAATAATAAAGATACAATGATATAGATAAGTTGTTGTTGTATGGATGACTCAGTTCGTTAATAAGTTAACAAAATGACTTAACCGAATTAAATGTGAACCAACTCAATTGCGCGTGAGTTGCTATACACTCATCTAGATGATGAGACGCCGCATTCACTAGGTAATAGTTCTTGTATGTGAACGTTAATTCACTGACTTCTTAACCGCTTATTATTCCTAAGAAATCTCCTACTCTTAAACAGTAAAAAGAAAACAAAAGACTGGAAGTACGCAAGAAGCATTACTTAGTTTGTGCATAAAACGAGAAAGGTATTTATAGGATTATATGTGACCATTTGATTCGAGAAGCTCCTGAATAATGTGTTAAAATTGGTAAAAATGTCGGTAGTTTTCTAGCATAAATAATAAAAACCTACTTCTTCTCCTGCAAGTTTCCAGAGAACTCTGATTGGACAAGATATTTTCAGTATTTTCTTGGATTTTTGACAACTTTGTGAGGAACTGTCTTGCTCGTCGAACACTAAGTTCCGATGTTACTTTATCGATAGTAATCAGGAGAAAACCCTGGAATTAAGTTACATGTACTAAGTACTCACCAACGATATAAGAGGTATGGAATCATCCTAGTTTCTAACTGAGATTAATTTAGTACAGAATTGTATTGCATTTTGGAGCGATTCACCACTATCTCCACAAAACCATACACTGACAATAGTCATCTGCTCATTAGTGATTTCCTTAAAGATGTGATTCACGGAGTTCTAGCGAGAAGCTATGACTAATGAAGCCTAACTGTATTGAGTATCAGACAGTTATCTACTCCAGGGAATGCAAGATGGTCGTCCATTACAGCGAATTGAATGAAGTTAAACGTGTACACCATTGGATGCAAGCTCAGTGATATAGAAGTGAGACACTTTTATGTGAGACTGAAAATTTTGAATTTGACTCATTGTAGTGGGGTAGTAGATCCACATTGCTAAAGGATCCGATACTAGGATGAGACAGATGTATAGGGCTTTATAGTTCTTAGTGGCGGTCTAATTAAGATGAGTTTGTGATTTATACTATCAAAATCCTATCATCTCACAAATGCCTCCATGAAATATTTCTGTGCAGATCTCAGGAAGTTGTCATCCTGATTGTTATTAAAAGGTAGAGAAAAGAAAATAATGAAACGGGAATAGTTACTCTCTAATAATGAATCAACTGATATAATTTTACTAAGTATTTCTCATTTAATCATTTTATGACAATTTAGAACTGGAATTAACATCAACTATGTATTATGAACACATCCAATGTAGTCCAGTTAGAAATGAAACTATTAAAATTACAGTCTAATATTGTAAAATTTATTCACTGAGAGAACTGGAAATAACCAAAAATGTGATGAATACAACACACGAGTTGAACATGAGGAGATTGAGGATAATCTTAATCATCAGCTTATTATAAGTAGATTACTAAATTTAAATGGAATAGTTTCTAGTTGTAAACTTATCGGCATTTATGAATTGTTGCATGTTATAGTCTAGTGCTTTACCTGTTTGTTCATCACGTGAACTGATCACAATGAAAATAAAAGTACTCGTGACCAATGTTTTAGCATTTATTGATCTGTTTAAAGGGAAATTTCTTTTTTAAATATTAAAAATCAGCATAAACTATCAATCATTGCTTACAAATAACTTGTGAATTAAGGTAATATCGAAGCATACTCACAGTATGCGCATATGCCAATAACAGACTGATCAATTGCAGTCTTAAACCTCAATGGGAAGATACAAGCCAAACAATACCAAGTGAATTCAAATTCACCCCAA